CCTGGCTGCACTCCTGATCCAACTCCATGATGGGCGCTTGGGAACCCAGCACAAGATAGTCCAGGTGCTTACTTGGGTCCCTGCACCCAGTGGGAGACCTGGATGGAGTTCCAAGTCTGTCCCAACCCTGTCCCTTGGGGCCATTTAGAAGAGTAAAACAGCAAATAGCAGCTCTCTCTTTCTCTCTCTCGCTCTCGCTCTAACTCTGCCCTTCAAATAAACAAATCGATCTATCTTTTAATGTGAAATCAGAGTTTCTGACACTTGAAGGTGAGATGGGGTGGGGGAGGCTGATGAGGGAAACCCCACCCTCATTATGAGGCTAGGGGGTGCGATTTAGCTCCCCCTCTGAGGGGAAGAAACAGAAAGAAGGAGAGGCAACCCGCCAAGGAAGGAAGCCGGGAATAAAGAGGGAGGGGACGGATGAAGCAGCGAAGAAAGCAAACGAAAAAAGCAAGCAGCACAGGCGGGATCCTTTGTGCCCTGTTGGTGCGAGTTTCTGGCGACCTCTCCTTTACAGCGGAGCCCAGGCAGGGGCTCCTGGACGTTGGCGCCGGGCGCTCTGACACCTGCCTTCACCGGGGCCGGGGGCAACGCTGTGGCCGTCAACACAGGCCCTGGTGGGCTTCGAGCCCCGACTGCGGCCACTCTCCTGCAGCCCCGGGCGCAGGGCGGCTCGTGGAAGGAGTTGTGCTGCAGCCATCGGACGGAGCCCTCGCGGGGCTGCCCTGACTACCCGGCACCGGGCCTTGCAACCCTCCGTGCCACAGGACCCATCGGCGGCCTCGGGGAGTGAGGTGCAAATTCGTGGGAACCTTTTGAGATCCAAAGTCGCCGCTCAGAGGGTCGCCGGGGCAGGCTCGCGGTAGTTGAAACCGAAGCGGGACCCTCCGTGGAAGCTGGAGAGCGCCGTGGCCGCGTGTCCGAAACAATCGCTTGGGGTCCTACTGCCACCAAGGACCTCGGCTGCATGGAGCACCGGTTCATCTTTAAGAATTCACATTACCAGGGGAAAGCGCGCATCAACATCAACAATAGCCAGAAAACAAAAACAACCAATTCTACAGAAGCAAACCTGTGAATTGCTCCCGGAGGAGGAACCTGTGCCTAAAGGCGCCGTCACCCACCCCGGCGGGACTCCGCGATCCTGAGGGTTTGAGACAAAACGAAAGTTAACGCGTGGCTTCGATATTTCCACCACGAGCTTCTACGACCGGCTTCTCCAACGAAAAAGTCACTCGATGGGCCCCAAGAGACGGTGGCCCGTGACCCTGAGGACTGATTCAGCTGATGCGCCTAAGATACTAAGTGTTGACGGCTGGAGCATCCATTGCCGCCAGCCTCCCTCCCGATCTGGCGCAGAGCGCACCCAGCAGCGTGAACCTGCGTTCCTGACCCGGGCCTGGTGGCTTCCACCTGCCACGGGCTGACTCTCCCACCCCCCAGTCTAACGTCGCCTCTACGGCCACCCTGCCTAGCCAGCGGATCCGGAGCTGGGGCGCAATCAGAATGGCGGGCTTAGGGAGGCAAAAGATGAGGAATGAGCTCTAGTCTCGGCGTCTCCGGGGAGAGGCTCGGCTCTGAGCCGCGGGACCGAGGGGACGAAGGAGCAACTGGGAGCCGAGAGGCGAGAAGAGGGCTGTTGGAGGCCGCCAGGTCCCCTAGGCGCGCCAAGGCCCCTCCGGGAACTAGGGGGTGACTGCACCTGGGATGAGCTGGCCCTTGTAGAAGCGATCCTCCCTCCATCCCCAGCTCCAACTTCGTTCAGTCGAGGAAGATCCAGCCAAGAGGGAGGGGGAGACGCCGAGAAAGCAAAGATGTCTGCGGTCCTGGGCTCTCGCCCGATCTCGCCTCCCTGTCCCCCGGTGCTGGCGGCTGACGTTGCCCCAGGGCGGCCCTTTCTGGGCTCAGCTGCTCCATCTCTGCAAAGCTTCGGGGACCCGTGTGCGCGCCGGGAGGATCTAGAAGCCCGTTCAGGAGACTCTGGGCTCGGTGGATGCTGAAGCCACACACTCGTTCCCTGGTGGGGGCTCGGTTTGGGGGCGATCCCTTCCTCCCCGCCTTTCCCTTAGCTGTGGGTCCGAGGAAATCCACTGGTTTAGTGCTTTGAGGGCCCCTCTCCTGCGTCACAGGGGTGGGGGTGCTGAGGACCCCTCGCTGGCGGAGCCCCTGGTCCCCGACTGCCCCGAGCGCGGCGGGCCCTGGGCGCTGAGGTCACCTTTTCCACTGCCCGGCTGGAGGACGGTTTCCGGGATTTTCGCAGTGGTGGCGGGAGGCCCCCCGTGGGTTCGGGCGTCCGGCTCTGGGGCTGCACCCCGGGGTGGGGGCTTCTCTCTTCTGGGCTTCTGTGTGCTCCCGTGGAAGCGGGACTCTCAGGTGCCCTGTGATCCCTTCTCCAGCTGGCGACGCGGAGGAGGCCTCGCTTTGCGTTTTGTGTGTTTTTCGCCTAAAAGGGGTTTAATCTGCGGGTTTGCTATGGGGGTTCCGCGGCACAGTTAGCGCTCTAGAGAACAAGGGGTCACTTAGGGGAGAGTCGGAACCCGGATCTGCCTCTCGCAGCTCTTTCCCGCAGGGCGCCCCTGCCTCAGCGCTTGCCGCCTTCACCCCACCGGGCGCCCCGCCGCAGGCCTGGCTAGGGGCCCGCAGGAAATAGATGCCTTGGCCGGTGTCCAGGGAGTTGGGGGTGCACCTGTGGGAGAGGGTGGGGGCTGGTGGTGCTCATCTTCTTGCTCCCCCAAATGTAGAATTGGGGTCTTCTTCCCAAAAATGCCCTTCCATCCTCCCCTGATGGAGGGCCTAACTCCGGAAGGCCAGCTGGTGTCAAAATTAGGTTCAGGACAGTGACACCAGGTGGTGCATGGGAGATGGGAGGGGACAGCAAGGCCCCTGGAGCAGGGCCTTCCTAGTGATCCTAGCTCACTTGTCTCCCACTGGACCCACTAGAGCTAGCTCAAGTATGGGGGAGTCTGTCTAAGCCCAAATAAGGAGAGAGGAGGGGATGGAGAGGTGGTTGGGTCCACCTTTGGAGAACCCTCCCCCAGGCTATGCCCCTGGGAAGTGGTGACAGCTGGGAGGAAAGAGGGAGTGTGTGTGTGTGGGGGCGCGGTGCTTGCTAGGCAAAGCTAGAAGTGGGGATGGCAGAGGAAGCGAAGTGGGGAAGAGAAGAGGCCCTGAGAAAGGGTTTGATGCTGTTGTATCCAGGGAGCTGCAGGAAGCCATTCCTGCTCTGAGCTAGACCCTTCCTCTGGTGGCCCCAATTTTCCCCTGAGGAAGGAAGTGGATGGTTCTCTCATCTGGGAGTGAGGTCTACTCTGGCCAGAGGCAAACACTGGCTGGGTGGAAGGTACAGTCCCTGGGGACCAGCAGAGGTGGGCTCAGTCCTAGGTCCCTCCCACCCCCATCCTGCGCTAAGCTGAGCTGCTGCTTCAGTGAAGCTTTCTCAAGAGCCTCAACTCCCAGAATTCGGCCCCAGAGGCCAGAAGCAAACAAGCCACCAAGATCGCCTTCCTTGGCTCCCGAAGAGGACACTGAGAAAGTTTGGTGGCACCGCACTGGAGAGGCAGCCGATCTGTGCCTCCAGTGTGTGCTCCGCCGTCCCAACCATCAGTGGCAAAACAGCTTGGGCTGCCTCCTAAAGCCCCAAAGTTCCTACAGGGTCTGGGGGCAGGAGCCAGTCCCTGGAGCTGGGCAAAGTGCTCAATGTTAGGGAGGGGCAGGGACATAGGGCCCCATCCGGAAATCTTTGTAGGAAAGAGTGGTGGTCATGGTACTGCAGTTTGGCCTGTGGATGGGACTGGGAGGGGTAGGCAGGTGTCCCTTCCCAGCCTCCGAGGACATCTCATCCTGTTTGCTCGGAGGAGCTGGGTTTTATGCCTTCCCAACACACACACACACACACACACACACACACACACACACACACACACACACTTCTATCCTTGTGAGATCTCTTTTTCTCTCCCACAAACTCTCTTCACACACTCCTGGAGTTTGCAGAAGCTTCAGTACTAGTCCAGAGCCCCAGCTTGCTAAGGACTGAAGACAGAAGCCTAGTGCAGGGTCCACCCCACTGTCCAGACCCTCCTAACCAAGACCAGAGGACCTAAGGAAGGTGGGAGCCAGGTCCCCGGGCTCAGAACCCCAGCTCTGCCCACTGCCTACCCGTCAAGCCACCCTGCCCTCCCCCAAGCCTCCAAAGCTAGGGGGGGACAGAGCTGCACTCTCTCCTCACCCCATCCCTTCCTCTAAGCAAGCTGACTTTAGCTAGACCACAGCACCTTGGGGACTGCCAACGAGTTTGGGTTCCTGTATCATTTGCGTTTGCAATTTAAGCAAATTCCTGCTAGAGAATGTTTTCCTCCCAGTGCAGAAATTAGGTGAGCCCGGTAAACTGAGGCAGGGGTGGAGCGGGCTGCACACGTGGACACCTGGGGGCTGCACCCCCACCCGCCTCTGTACCCCCTGCTGGGCGGGCATTCCCTTCGCCCAGGCGGGAGATTTGTGCGCCGCCACCTCTTTCCCAGCTGAGCTGCGCCGCCTTCGCCTCGGGCCGCTCGCCTTTCAGGCTGTCCCCTCTCTTTGCTGTCCCCTCCCTCGGCCTGCCCGCCTCTGTGCCCTCGGGCACGTCACGGCCTGCTGCCTCTCGCACCTCTCTCAGCACCCGTCTGCACGCGGCTTGCGGCGTCCGTACAGCTGCCTCGAACACGCTGTGACCCCTCTCTCACCTCGCTCGCGATCCCTCGGTGTCACGTCTCCCGGGCTCTCTCCCGACCTGTCTGGCTGTCTTTTCCTGGGCTCGCGCGCCGCAGCCTCTCCGGTTCTCGGTCGGCCGGCCACTCTCTCGCAGCCCCCTCCCTCCCTCCATCCCTCCTCCCTCTCTCTCTCGCGGGTTCCTCCCTCCGGCTCGGCCTAGGGGTGGGGGGCGGCGGCGCGGGGCGGGGCGGGCCAGGCGGGGCGGGGCGGTGACGCGGGGCCGGCCGGGCTAGAGGCTCGGCGGAGCGGGGCGGGGACGCAGTCCCGGGTCGGAGCGGCCGAGCCCCGCGCGCGCCCCTCCCGCGCCCTGCGTCTCCGCCCGGCCGGCCGGCGGGGGAGGGGGCATGAGCCGGCGCCCGCGCGCCGCCGGGAGCTGCGGGCCGGCCTAGAGCCCCGCGCGGGCCCCGCGCCCGAGCCGAGCCGCCGCCGAGCCCCGGGCGCCGGGATGCAGCGGCCGGGGGAGTCCGGCGCCGCGCGCTTCGGCCCGCCCGAGGGCTGCGCAGACCACCGGCCGCACCGCTATCGCAGCTTTATGATCGAAGAGATACTGACAGAGCCGCCGGGGCCCAAGGGCGCCGCGCCCGCCGCCGCTGCCGCCGCCGGCGAGCTGCTCAAGTTCGGCGTGCAGGCGCTGCTGGCGGCACGGCCCTTCCACAGTCACCTGGGTACGTGCAGCGGCCGCGGGGCGCGGGTGGCTGGGCGGGAGGGACGTGCCGCGCCGCCAGGAGCCTTAGGATCCCCCCCCTCTGCCCTCCCGCCTGGCGCCGCCCGGGGATGTCTCTCTGGGCGCGCAGTGCCCCCTCCCCCGGGACCCGCTTCTGCGCGCTCCAGCCGGGAAAGAGGGTGCAGGCGACAGCGGCGTGACCAGGCCTCGTGCCGCCCGCAGCCCTGGCCGGCTTAGGGGGGACGGGGGAGTCTCTTCTTCCAGACCGACCTCGGGCTTCCAGTGTGGGGGAGGGCCGCCCTGGGGAACGGGCGGGTATCCTCGATCCTGCTGCACGACCACCCTGTTGACCACAGTGACCTCAGGCCGCAGGCTCCCGGGCTTCGCCATAGACAGCTGGCCAGGAGTGACCTCTGGGGAAGAAGAGGCCCAGGTCTCCGAACGCTGGGTGCTGACACTGGCCTAGGCCAGCCAGAGCCTCCCAGAACCCGGTGCGCCGCTACGGGCGACCGACACAGCTCCAGCTTCAGCGCGACCTGCCCGGGCCTTTCCAGGGGGCAAGAGGCCTGGCCATGAGCGACCGCCCTGTTGGCCCTTCCGCTTCCAGGTCGGCCCGGCCTCCGCAGAAACTCTTTTGCAGACCTCTCCTGCCTCTGTCCGATTGGCCTTCAGTAGAAGGGCCTCTCCAGCAGCGCCCCAACCTCTGCTTACATTGCCCGGGCTCGCTGTCCATCTGATCGGCAGTGGGTTTCTCTCTGCGGAGAAATTTGGCTCACCATACCCTAAGGACCGCTTTACCCCCGTCACCCCTCTCCAAGTTCACAGGCTTCTGCCTCTGGCTCCTGCTGAGGCAGGGCTGGGGTACTCTCCGCAGTGGATGCCTTCCTGGGAGGAAGGGACTCCCAGCCCGGAGCCGCCTTTTTAAGCATATCCAACCCGGTCAGAGCTCGCCCGCTCCGGGCCCGAGGGCCGGTTAGTGTGTTGTGAGCCCGTCTGGGACGCAGCGCCTCAGCACAGTTGCACCCCTGAGCTGTGCTACTAGTAATTCGTTTGAAGCGGGCAAAAATGAAATAGTTTTTAGGACTAACGGAACGTGGAAACGTCTTCACAGGGAAAAGTCTGAACAGACAAAAGAAGAACAACAATTTCCGGGCTCGCGGGGTGCCTTGGAATTTCCGGGAAGCTGCCAGCCGCGCCCCAGACGACGCCCCGCCGCCGCGTGGCTGTCGCGCCAGGGGCAGCAGGGCCAGCGTGCGCGCTTCTTCGTGTTCTTTCCCCGAGCGCAACCCTGTCGAGCGGGTCGCAGCACGCGTCTCCGTTCTAACTCGCTGCGGTTTTTGCTTGCTTTCCCGTTTCCACTGAGGACGCGCTGGCGTCTGCTCGCCTCGCAGCTTCGAATTTGTCCTTGGGGAACTCTGAAATCTGAGGCGGCCAGAGCTTGGGCTCACCTGGGCAGAGCCCCGGGTGGGGCAGGCGGCGTAGAGGAGAGTCGCTCCACCTGGGGCGCAGCTTTTCACTCCCCAGACCCCCGGAGGTTTTGCTCCGGGTGTCGTTGGCCAAGTAGGAGCACCCTAGAGGTGCTTGGAGGCGCGCCCCGGACTTGGAGAAGCGCGGCCCGAACTCACCGGATGCCCTACTCTGTCTCCCTGCAGCGGTGCTGAAGGCGGAACAAGCGGCAGTGTTCAAGTTCCCGCTGGCGCCGCTGGGCTGCTCCGGGCTGGGCTCGGCGCTGCTGGCCGCCGGGCCTGGTTTGCCCGGCGCCGGGGGTGCGCCGCACCTGCCGCTGGAACTGCAGCTCCGCGGAAAGCTAGAGGCGGCCGGGCCAGGGGAGCCGGGCACCAAAGCCAAGAAAGGGCGCCGCAGCCGCACTGTGTTCACCGAGCTGCAGCTGATGGGCCTGGAGAAGCGCTTCGAGAAGCAGAAGTACCTCTCCACACCGGACAGGTAGTGAGGGGCCTAGCTACGCGGGTGGGGATGGCAGATGGAGACCCTGCACTGCTGAGGGTGTGCCCTGCTCTTTTCAGAATAGATCTGGCCGAGTCGCTGGGCCTGAGCCAGTTGCAGGTGAAAACGTGGTACCAGAATCGAAGGATGAAATGGAAGAAGATAGTGAGTGTCCCTGATGGCGGCTCTCCTAGTGTTCCAGGCCACGCAGCTCCTCCATCACTCTTCCCTGCTCCGCGTTAGCCTTCCGACTCCCTCCGTGCTTAGCGCCCACGGAGGCCAAGCCGGCCCCTAGATCCCTGTTGGCATTCTAGCAGAGCCAGCATTCTTTCTTGTCTCTCTGCATTCCCTGGCCTCCTGGCAGCCGTGAGCCACTCCCTTCCTCCACCCCATCTCCTTCCTCCCCCGGTGGGACCTTGGGGGGTGCACTTTCCCCGCCGTGTGTGGCTTTGCTGGACCCTGTGGCTCCAAACCGGCCTCAGGACACCTGGTCTCCGTTGCGCGTCGTGCCTCACCAGAATGGCTGACCCTCTCTCTGGCAGGTGCTACAGGGTGGCGGCCTGGAGTCCCCCACCAAACCCAAGGGACGACCCAAGAAGAACTCGATTCCTACGAGCGAACAGCTCACGGAGCAGGAGCGCGCCAAGGAAGCAGAGAAGCCGGCAGACGCTCCGGGAGAGGCCAGCGACCGGAACCGTGAGGCCTGAGCGTGGCAACGGCTGCGGGGCCTGGGACTCACGCACCGCTCCCGGCCGGGCAGCCCGTGGGAAACCACGAGCTGGTCCTTCTCCGTCCATGCCGTTTGCTTTCTAAACGTTTCCTTATTTCTTTGAAAGAAGACAATTAGGGGCCGAACCAGCAAGGACTCAGACCCTGCAAAGTAACCCCAGGCCCCAGTGTTCTCCTGGAGGCCTGGGAAACTGGCCTCCAGCGCGGTGGCAGCTGCCCGTCGGCTCTGCAGTCCCGCGGCGCCGGGCGTTACACGCGCACTCACGCCCAGCTCCTCGCCCACACCCCCACCCCGCCTCGGACCGGCGCTCCGGGTCTGGGCGCTGCCAGGCACACACCCGCTTCCTCGCGTCGGGGACTCGGCGGCCGGGCGCAGGCCCCCTCGCCGGACACGGCACCAGGACTACTCGGCCTCGAGGCCGGGTCCCCGCAATCGCTGGGGCCCCTACCCACCTCTGGCGAAGACAGTGACTTTTTTTTTTTCCAATAAAATATTTTATGACACAGTGGGGCTTGGTAAAGCGGCTACTAAATCCGCGTGGGGGGTTGGGGGAAGCGGAGAGGTTAAGAAGTGAGCCTACGACCGTTTCTAAAACTCCCTTTTCACTGGCTACCTCGAGTAAGGCGTCGCGGGCTGCACCCTTGCTAGGCTGGGCGGGCAAAGGACTTGGGTGCTTAAGGCACCGCGGGAGGCATTTACATTTTGTGCCTGAAGGGCTAAAACTTTCATCCCAGCGGGGGGGGGGGTACGCGGAAGGCAACAGTCTGGCTGCATCCGGGGCGTCCCAAACAGCAGGAGCCAGTGGTACTCTAGGAAAGCAGTTGGTGACGGGGTCGAAGCGGCCTCAGTTGTGCAGCGTGGTCAGCCTCCTGAGGCCTGGTGTGCCCACTGTGAGGTCTGTGAGATGGCCGGATCCTCCCTGTAGGAGGAGGCCAGCCAGGAAGCCAAGGACACAGGGCTGCCAGTCCACGTGCTGCAGCTTCCCAGAGGTTGCCCATTTTTGTTGTCCTGGAGTAAGAGACACCTGGCCCAGGTGAGCTGTTGCTTGGGCAGCTTGTTACCAGAGGCGCCCCTGCTCACCAACAAGATGACTTTTGGCTCTGCTAGACTGGGCTTGGAGCTCCCACGTGGGGTGCCGTCCTGGCCTTTCCTGCGGGAAGGGTGGGATGGGGAAGAGAGAGGTGGAAGCTTTGCTGGTTAGAGCTCAGAATAATGCAACCTGGCTAGGCAGAGTTCCCAGTGGCCCAGGACAGGAAGCTGGGTGCTTCTAGGCTCCAAACCCAGGGGAGGGTCAGGCACCTCCTCTCTCAGTGGCTGGCTGGTGTTTCTAAAAGCAACTTCATATGGTCCCCAATTAGGGTGACACAGCTTCCTTTCCCCCTATCTCCATCCCCCTGCATTTCTGGCCTGGGGAAGGAAGAGAAAGAAGGGAGGGAGGGAGTGAGGGACGAGAGAGAGAGAGAGAGAGAGAGAGAGAGAGAGAGAGAGAGAGAGAGAGAGAGAAAGCATGAACTTTATGCAGAGCCTCAGTCTTGCCCCATTCCTGGGAAACTAACGTTTGCTAGTTCAGGGCTCTTAATTCAGCCCTGCAAACAGCGCCCAGGCCAGTTCCTTACACCCGGGAGGGCTCTCCCTTCCCAATCCTGGCCACCTGCAAGAAGGATGGAATTGTGAGTTTGTGACTGCATCCGCTAACTCCTTCCAGAACCGGAGTTACCTCTAGGTTGGTTCAACCCAGTAAGTTTTCTGCATCAGGTCACTAGCAGGGCTGCCTTCCCTCCTGTCCTTTCCAAAAAGCAGAAAAGCCCCTTACTTCTTGGTTCTGTCCTTTGGGAGGCCTGGGGGATGAGTCCGTGCTCCTGGGAGGGGAGTGTAGCCGGAAGAGGAGCCCGGAAAGGGTTTTGATCTGGCTGGCAGTAGACCCTGCCAGGTCCACGGCTTTGACTACAGTGGAACAATGCGACCTTAGCCAATTGTTTACCGTGTGTATGTGGGTTATGCTGATGCCGCCCTTACTGGAGCGACTCAGGGGTCTTCCTAGGAAGACCTAAAGTCCTAAAGGGTGAGAGGAGGGAGCATGGGAGAACACCAAGTCAGGTCCCTGCATTGCAGCCACAGTGGGGAATCAGGCGCTGAAACTCCCACACAGAGGTCAGCAGGGGGTGTGAGTGGGGAAGCAGGGCCTCCAACCTAGGGAACTGGATTCTATGGGAGGGGAGGGGTGGGGCTTTTTGTCACAGCCACTGCGGCTGTGCTCCGTCGGAACCGGGGACGCGACCACTGCAACAGCAGACTGGCCCGAGGCGAGGGAGGAGCCGGCTGCGCGGTGGCTGCGGCGCGGCCTCCCGGGGACCCGACAGGAGCTCCGGGCCGCTCCCGGGAGGAGCGAAGGCGCAGAGGTGACGACCACCGGATGGCCGGCCGACCTCGCAGGAGGACCGAAGCCCTCAAAGCCACAACTCCAGGTAAAGGACCTCCTCCTATCCCGCCAAAGAGACGCGGTCTGCCCAGCCGTGCGCCTGGTCGTGGGCTCCCAGGAGAGGCCAGCGTGCCACCCGGCCCAGCGCTGGGGCCCCTTCTGACTGCCAGCACTGACCGCACCCCGAGCTCCAGGCCTGGGGCTTGGGGAAGGGAAAATGCCCTCGCTCAGGTTCCAGCGTCCCCTTTCCCTCCAAGCCGCACAAGTTCCATCTCCTCCCCGAAGGTCCCGGGAAACGAAAGTCGGAGGCGGCGCGCTCGGCCGAAGCTGCGCGCAGCGGAGCCCGGGGACCCGCGGCTCCGGGAAGGGACGGGCTCGGGCGTCTCGCGAGATCGGTGGTCCTGGGGGAGGGGGCGCTCTCGGCCCCGGCGGGACCCTCCGGAAGGGAAGGGTGGGGCACGGAGGGATGGGGATTAGCCCCGAGGCCGCCCTCCCACCAAGCGTGAAGCTTGCGCTCCGTGGGCTGCCTTCTAGGTGGCTGGGAGAGGAAAGAAAGCTTTGGGAGAGCCGGCGGGGAATGGAGGGGTCGCGGCCCTGGTTTGTGGGACCCTGACCCTGACCTTGTCGTGGTCGATCCGGCTGGACTCGCAGAATTCCAAAGGGTAGCGCCAGGGTTTCCGGCGGGCCTCCAGCTAGAAGTCTCGGGACTCGGAGGGGGCCCTACGAAGTTGGGTAGGGGTCCGCGGAGGGCGCCAGCCTCTGGCTGACCACTGGATCCACGCAGTCCTCCCGCACCGCCCAGGCATTGACCGGAATGGAGGCGCCCCTGTAGAGGAGCCCCACTTTCTTTTAAAATAAAGGTTACTCGGGTTTATTCTTTTTCCCTGTCCTGGAAAGTGACTAACGGAAACATGTCAGTCGGGAGAGGAGAAATGCGGACTGTATTCCCCTGCTCTGCTCCTGTAGCCGAGTCTTCCTTCCCGGGTCCGGAACCCGGCCGGCTGGCTGTGAGCGCCACTGCCGAGCGGCCACGCTGGGAACGCCAAGATCGGAACAAAAAGTGGGTGCCTCCTGGCTTTTCCCGACGCCAGCTGCCTCATTTCGTTCCCACACTCCAGGGTCGTTCATAACCCAAGAAGGGATAGCGCAGAAGAGATGGAGTTCAGGCCAACGCGGATCTTGTTCTCACCGTAGCTGCCACGTCCACAGAGGAGCGGTCCCACGGATGTCGGTGCTGGTGCTTCTGTCTCCTCAAGACCTGTCCGGGTCCCGGTTTCCTGGGAAAGCAGCCCCCTCGCCATACCCAGCTAGCTCCGCACTGGGAGCGAAGTTCTCAAACATCGCTGCTCTGGCTCCAGCTGCCCGGAGCTTGGGCAAAGCGGTCTCCCGCTCCAGTGGGCCGTTCTCAGGGCCATCTCTCGTGCTGGGAGCAGTCTCGCTACTCGAGGCTTCCTGTCCCAGGCTGGCCAGTCTCTGCTCTGTCCCTGGAGCCCCTGCAAGGGCAGAGCCTTCTCTCCTGGCCTCCCCAACTCCTTAAGAGGGGGTTGAGGGGCTCACCTAGGTGATTTGGAAAGCTGAAATTATCCTGGTTCTCACATAATGTTACTCTATCCCTTCCACTTTATTCTTTTAAACTTGTTTTTAATAATTTTTGTGATTTATTCTATCTGTTTGAGAGGTAGCGCTTTGCCATCTGCAGGACTTGACCAGGAAGCAAAAACACAATCCTAGGTGGGATTGCAGACCCCTGAGCACTTGAGCCATTAGATACGCCTTCCGGGTGTACATTAGCAGGAAGCTCGAGTGGGAAATGGGGTGAAATTTTAAAAATGTATGTGTGAGATTTTTCATTTCTTTTTTAAAAAACAGATTCATGCTTTATTTATTTGCAAGACAGAGCTGTAGAGAGAGGAGGAGAAACCGACAGAGCTCTTCTATCCTCAGGTTCAGCAGCCAGGGCTGCGCCAGGCAGAAGCCAGGAGCCAGGAGCTTCTTCACAGTCTCCCACGCAATGCAGGGACTCAAACACCTGGACCATCCTCTGCTGCTTTTTCCAGACACAGTAGCAGGGAGCTGGATCAGAGGTGCAGCTGCCAGGACTGGAACAGTGGCATTGCAGGTGCTGGCTTTATCTGCTAGGTAACAGCTCCAGGCACACAGAACAAAGAGTCGAACTTGACACTTGAGTATGGGATGCAGGGGTGTCCTGAGTGGTGCCTCAACTGCTGTACCAAACACTCACCGAGGCCTTAAGTCTGGATGTTTATGGCAATTGAATGTGGAGTGAGGGGTTCCAAGTGCTGGGGGGCAGGTGCCTGTGGAAGAGGTCGTCCGAGGCAGGAATGCACAGCAGTGGCCCCTGCCTCTCCGGCAATCCCTGCTGGCTGGAGCCCAGGGGGAAGGCCCTGGAGGAATCTCCCACACGTTTCGGGAATTCGTGAGGGGTGAACAGCTTATCTGCTCACTGCTGAGACTGCAGCTGCGTAGTGGGAAATCGTAGTAGGCTGAGAGGTAGCTCAGAGCTTGAGGAAGGGAAACTGCAAGGAAATGGTAGAGAA